ATATTTATATGTCGTCTTTATTAAAAATAAACGTTTCTTAATATCTGTCATTTCACAAAACTAATACTACATAAATTACACTGTTCTTTCTATTTTACCATTAAGATTTATTAGCCTTGAAAGTATAAATTTGATCAACATAGGAAAATTAAATGATTAATTCATGTTCATTGGTCAATTCAATTAATCAAAATAAATTAATTATGTTCATTTATTAAAAACTTGACTTCAAGAGAACGCTAAATAAGGATATAATGATAAACTTATCTAGTTTCTTTAGGAATATGAAATCTAAAATGGAGGATATTTTGTAAACATGCAAGTAATAATTAATGTGATGTATATTATTTTTAGGGAAAATGCTTAAATATGTCATCGAACTTTCAGAAAATGCTCATTTATGACATCTATTAAAAGTTTGGCTCATCTATGCCATTACCATTTAAGAAAAGACGCATTCATGCTATTAATTTTTAACAGTAGTTTTGCAAAATCATTTTTTACACATGCCAAATTATAATTCGGCCACATTATTATTTTTTTTAATAATAAAAAATCAAAATTCTGAACAAAAATTGTTAAAATAATTCACCCAAGTAAAGACCCATCCAAATTTTTAAAAATTCCTATAACCCATTAGTAACCTAATTCTTTCATTCACTTTTAATCTAAAAAGCCCTAAGATCCAATGCAGTCGCTGCTTCCCAGACCCCCTCACTTCTGGCGATGAAACCCAATGTGAGAAATGGATAAGTATAAATCGACATATCTTCAACAGCAGTTGGGAGTACAAAACGTCTTACAGCCAAAAATGCAAGCAATTTTTCTATGCAGGAACACAACAAATTGAATGAAAGAATTGGGTTTGCATTGAAAAATCGAATGAAAGAATTGGGTTACTGATGGGTTATTATAGGGATTTTTTAAAATTTGGGTGAGTCTTTACTTGGGTGGGTTATTTTAATTCAATTTTTATTCATAATTTTGAATCTTTTTTTATAAAAAAAATAATGACGTGGCCGAATTATAATTGGCCACGTGTAAAAAATTGTTTTGCAAAACAACTGTTAAAAAATAATAGCATGAATGAGCCTTTTCTTAAACGATAATGACATAGATGAGCCAAATTTTTAACGGATGGCATAAACAAGTCTTTTCTGAAAGTTTAATGACATATTTGAGCCTTTTCTCTTATTTTCAATGGCTGAGATAAAAAGTAATTAATATCAACTTTAACTTATCGTGAAACCAAACAATCTCACCTAACAAATTAATTCAAAAATTAAGATAATTTGAGTCTTTTCTTATTCCAACTCAAGGTTCAATTTTCAACGAAACTTACTTTTTTCCTTTTGACTCAAACTGCCTATAGCAATTTTCGGTATTTATTGTACTACAAATCAATGGATTAACCAACTTAAAGTCCCGGATTCTTCAAGAATCAAAAGCACGATACTACTTTTCCATTTTCAAAATAAGTGTTATTTTTAGCTTATTTTATACCTATTAAAAAAAATAAAAATACACAATATAAAATATTCTCTTTTTCATATTGACTGAATTTGTGAAACAATGCACAAATATTAAGAAAAACTTAAGAACATAACGTAAATCATAATTTTTACTATTGCCTTTGTGAAATAATAAATATACGAGTAATTTTGTAAGTAGTGTAATTTATCTTCTAAAAAAATATAAAATTTTAATAAATGAAAAGACAAATATTAAAAAAAATAATCAAACATCTATTTTGAACAATGAAAAAAACCTTAGACATTCACTCAATATAAAATAAAAGATATTTTAGTGTATATTACATTATGGGTAAAGCTAATTGGCTAGAATTTGGCTAGAAATTTAAAAAAACTATAATATTTTTTTTATTTAAAAATAAACTGATTTTTTTTCTATTTTTAGTTAAAATATATTAAAATTAAAAGAGTAAAAATATTCAAAAAATAAAATAACATAGATAAAATATTATTCTGATCAAATTTTAGCCGAATTTTCTGACTAAAAGGATTTTTCCGTACATTCTTATATATTTGACGTTTCTCGAAAATTAGACATTATTAAAAGGAGGTAAATAGTTAAGTCTAATAATTACTTCAATTTTTTAGTTTTTGAATTCTTAAAAAGACACATGTGTTAGGAGTTAGGACAAAACATTTTTGCTATAGTTGCATGCTTTTTGGTAGAGTCCCCACCTCTCACATGGCGCAAGACTGAACTATACATAGTACTCCTTCCGTCTCATTTTTTTTTTTAAAAAGAAGACTTTTAAAAAATTATGGTTCAAAATAGATGATAGAAATTTATGTGACGGTAAATCATTTATTAAGGATAAAATAAATATTTTATAGCTAAATTGTTACTTTATATAAAAATATGTCATTTTTTTAGGACTAACTAAAAAAGAAAGTAAGTCACATAAATTGAGATAGAAGGAGTAATAACCAATGCAAAGAGCATAACAATGTTTTCTTAATTTTGGGAGGATGGAAATTAGTACTTTGTCCTATTTACTTGTCAATTTTTGACTTAACAAATCTATGAAAAAAATAATAGTGAGTTTATTATTTTACTTCTATTAATTAATATTAGAATTTCAAAATCAATTTACTTATTAAAGATGTTCTATCTTTTTCAAACAATATTAATTATCTAAATAAATTGAAGATAAAAAATATTACTCCATCATCTCTTGATTTTTCAAAAATGACAAGTAAAAAGTCAAATTTAGATAAGTAAAAGGTCAAACACATCGATGGCCCCTTAAAGTTGACAACAATTTTCACTTAGACACTTTAACCAGACTCTGTTTATTTTAGACACCTCATGTCAGACACCATTGTTTCATTTTGACATTTTTTTCTCAAGCACATGTTGACTCCAAGTGTGTGAACACCAAGCGCCACGTAGATTAGATGTCCAATCATATCATGCCAACTCATTTAAAGTCTATCATATTAAAGAGAAAAAATAAGAATTAAAATATATGACAAAGTAACCAATGAATAAATGACATGTGGTCTTTTTTTTCCAAAAAAATTAAATAAAATATTTTCACAAATTTAATGAAAAAATGCAACACCCCCACAGCTTCTTCAGTCGTCTTCTCCATTCCATTTTTATTATTTTTTGGGCCTTATTTTTTCTGCCATAAACTCACACCCACACAATCTACACTATCATATTTCCTCCATTTTCAATGCCTTTTCCGTCACACCAACATCCACAGTCATATTCCACGTTTTATTTCTCCTTTTCATGGTTTTTTCAGACATATTCTACCGGATTTTAACCGTCTTCTTCGCTGCACCCTCGGTCACATTTCTTCATTTGATTTAGGGTTAAGAGGTGCAAATATATAACAATAATGGTTCGTATTTTTTAGAATGCATCTCTTTTTCTTTAATTTTATGAAATTTTGAGTTGTTGGGTTGTATGTGGGCAATTGTGACCATAGATACACTTGAAGAATCGTTTTTACCTTTTTCTTTAGGATTATTGTGGTTGAATTTTACATGATTTGGGGTGTTGTTGATATGGGTTCAATTTCTTTTTTCTTTTTGGGTTTACCTGAGCTTGCAATACGAAATTTAAATTGAAATTATTATAACAAAAGATTTATCCTCCATTGAAGTATTTTAAGCTTTGAGAAATAATGACTATAAAATGAGGAAGAAGAAGAGAAACAATAAAATAAAATAGGCTAAATAAGCCCCTCACGCGTCAATAGCGAGGGTATCACACTTACTTTGCCATGTCAGCAGAAAGTGTCAAAATAACACACTATAAAGCCTGACATGAAGTGCCTAAAATAAACAAAGTCTAATTTAAAATATCTAAGTGAAAATTGTTATCAACTTTAGGGACCAGTAATGAATTTGAGCCTAAATAAAAAGAAACGGAAGGAGTACTAGCTATATTATGTATATACATGTCATGTCATCATGTACTGCTGGAGTACTGGGGAACACAACTTCTTTAGTAAAGTTTTGAATCAAACCAAATTGTAGCTACTCTTTAGACCTCTAGTTAGGCAAACTGATTGGTAGCATATTTGAATTTGAAGAGCAATGGTGTTCCAAGCTATTGATTGCTTTGCTTAGATTCTTACTCCCTACCTTCCATATTAATTAAATTTTAAAGATTTTTTTTTATCGTTCAAAATAATTGAATTGTTTAAAGTTCAAGATGAATGTTTGAATTTTTTTCCTTCATATTTGCCCTTTCTTGTAATGAGGTTTGATATTTTATAGGAGAGGCATTACTTGCAAAGTTACGGAGTAATACATATTGTCAAATTTGCGTTGTACCTTTTAAACGTTATACTCCCTTCGTTCAATAATAGTTGTCCACTATACTAAAAATAATTGTCCAATAATATTTGTCCAATTTAAAAAAATAAAAAAATAATTTATCTTTTGTGTCTATTTTAACCTTGTTATTAAATACTCCACTATTTATCATCTAATACATTTCTCAAAATATTAAATTTAATAAAGTTAAAGGATAATATAATAAAATTATCCCTATTATTTATTATTTCTTAAAGGTTATATCAAGTTAATAATGAGCAACTATTATTGAACATAGAGAATATTTATTTTTGAATAATCCAATGTAAATGTGAGAGAATTTGAAGTAACATAGATTCCAAGAATGCTATAATTAACATCTTCACCTGCAATGTAAAATCAAAATTAGAATCTTTAATAAAGACAAAACAATAGTAGATATTTAAGTTCTTACCAATCCTTTAAAATTTTGAATAATTAATTATGTTAAACTTGCAATTACAAAATATTTTATGTAGTTTTTTAAATATATTAATTTTATTTTAATTTTTTAAAAAAGAATTTAATAAATTTTATTTTAATTTTTTTAAAGAATTTATACACAACTCTCGTGTACCCCGAACCCCTTTATATATTGGTAGAGACTAGAGAGGGTGGAAAAATCCAAATGCCAGAAAACAAGTAATTGATTATTGGCAGTTCACATTCTCTCCGTGACACAGCTATGGATGGTACGTACACAAATAATGCAGACTCGCAGTAGCACAAGCAACGATCCAAAATCCATTCCGCCATTCATCTGTGAGTAACCTGTCACTTTCCCATTACTCTTTATTTCTTTCTTCTTCTTTTTTTTGTCCGCCATTGATGATTCATGCCAACGCTCTTTCTTGCTTTTTCATCCGGTTTCGGTCGTCGTATGTGTAAGTTGCAAATGCCCATTCAAGAACATGGTTTCTTTATTGTATTTGTGATTTCTTGTTTCTATTTTTGGTGAAATAGATTCAAACAGTGCGTAGTGGAATTGTCGATAATATCGATAGTTTATAGAATCGATCGACCCCTAACTAGTTGTTTTGTCTTCTTCGTTATGTAGCTTTCTGCGAGATTGTTAGTAGTACGTGCATGCATTGGATTGGGTTCCGTTTGAAATTTTGATGGGTTGTCGATTTTTATACATCTGTTGTGATGATTCCCCTGTTTGATTCGAAAGATGAAAGAAAAAATTTAAGAAAGAGAATCTTGATAGTTGAATGTAAGGTGCACTACTTTTCTTGTTTATATGTGAAATGTGTCCAAATAGAGCGTAATGGAACAGTCGATAATAGAGATAAATTTATAGAATCGATTGACACCCAACTAGTTTGTGTTTTGTCTTCTTCATTATGTGGCTTTCTGTGAGATTTTTAGTAGTATATGCATGCATTGGATTGGGTTCCGTTTGAAACTTTGATATGGGTTATCGATTTTTATACATCTGTTGTAATGATTCTCCTGTTTTATTCGAAAGAAGAAAGAAAAATTAAAGAAAGAAAATCTTGATAGTTGAATCTAAGGTTCTTGGTCTGTTAATTTGGGTTAATGCTTCTACTGTTTATTAATAAGATATCAAAGGGCCAAAGTAGAAAAAGGGCTATGATTGATTTTCTTGGTTCGTTTAGTCTCTTCAAGCTATGCCCCTCAACTATCACGATTCTCTTTCTTTCTTGTACTTTTTTTTTTTTGGTCCGCCATTGATGGTTGATGCCTTCGCTCTTTCTTGCTTTTTCACCCGATTTCGTTCGTCGTATGTGTAAGTTTCAAATGCCCATTCAAGAACATGGTTTCTTTATTGTGTGTGTGATTTCTTGTTTATATGTGAAATGGGTCCAAATAGAGTGTAATGGTATAGTCGTTAATAGAGATAAATTTATAGAATCGTCTGTCTTCTTCATTGTGTGGCTTTCTGCGAGATAAATGCATGCATTGGATTGGGCTCCGTTGGAAGTTTTGATATGGGTTATCGATTTTTATATCTGTTAGATGATTCCCCTGTTTGATTCGAAAGAAGAAAGAAAAATTAAAGAAAGAGAATCTTGATAGTTGAATCAAAGGTGCACTCTACTGTTTGATTAATGACATATCTTGATACATCTGTATGATGATTTCTTGTTTTGTTAATTGGGCTAATGCCTCTACTGTTTGATTAATGACATATCAAAGGGCCAAAGTAAAATATGGGTTGTGATTGATTTTCTTGGTTCGTTTAGTCTCTTCAAGCTATGCCCCTTTTTTCAAACTTTTATCGGTATGCATGGTGCTGACTTGTGATTTTAATGCAGATTGTTGAGCCTCTGAATAGTTTGTAAATCCATAGAGGCTTCAAGAATGTCAACGCATTCCGGGGATGTATCTAACAATGATAGTTGTATAAAAAATATTGATTCATGTAGTAGTGTAACTGAATTGGAAGACATTGATTTCTCGAGGTTACCTAGGCCAAGAAACTTGAACATTGAGAGGCAAGGCTCATATGATGAGAAGTCCCTTACTGAAACTCAACTGGGGTTCTCTCCTCATCCCCCTTCTAGAGCTGAAAATTTCTTCCGTGCTTTGGAGCATTTTGATTGTATATTTTCTCCATCAAAAAGATCTGAGTTCACTACTCCCAGGTCACCTTTTGGGCAAGGGCCACATCCTATGGTTGCTGAGGCTTGGGACTCTTTGAGGCGTACGTTGGTGCACTTTCGTGGACAGCCTGTTGGGACAATTGCTGCACTAGATAATTCAGATGAAAAGCTCAACTATGATCAGGTAAAGCCTGTTATGTTGTAATTGTTACATTGTCAATGGTGTGTGCATTGTTGTATTGAGTAGTTAACTTTGTCTCTGTCACTGGAAGAATTTTATGCTTGCTTAGTGTGAATCATTGATTTCATAATTTGGCATTTACATACTCTGCAGTTGCTATAGGAATTAGAATTACCATTACCTCGTGTAAAGTTTATCTATAGTTGATTTGATTGAATAATTTTTGCGCTATGTAACAGTACTACAGTAGAAAACAGCTTATACTTGATTACTTGTGCATGGGATAATTGTATTCTGTAGTATAGTAATCAGGTCAGTTTAGTTTTACCATTGGGAACCATGTACTATTATTACTCTCTTATGCTTTTGGTCCAAATACGAAGTGCCCTTTTATAATCATCTACTGCAAGGCAATAAATTTATTGGTTAACAATGTTTGGCTCTTAATAAATTATGCTAATTGCCAGAAGATCACTATTCAGAGGGGAGTAGAGATGCCATCTTATTCCTCTGAGATATTTTTGTAGGCTTTCACTTAATGAGTTCTAACCTTTTATCCTTCCATAATAATGAAAGTTTCCTTGTTCAATTGAAAGGGTTAATATTTGGATATAATTGAATGCCAATTATGTGTTCTGGGCACTGTATTCCCCAACTCCAAACTCCTGATTTACTGGGATCTCCACTCTAGCTATCTTCTAGATACACTAATTTCTGGGCAGGATAATTTCCTTTGCTGTTAGAAGACTCGAAAGAAAGTCAGGTCAGTGAGCAATTGAGTTGTATTCTTGCAAAGTTCATCGGTCAATGCACTTGTCTGGAATATCTCTTTCTTGTAGTTGATAAGTGTTTCTAAAGACATGATGGAAAAAGATTCTTTTTGTTGTACATGGAGGAGGTAGTTGTACAAAAGTTCTGTAGTGGTTGTTATTCATGATCAAGATGTTTGTTAATAGCCATCTTTAACTTCAGGTGTTTGTCAGAGACTTTGTTCCAAGTGCGCTGGCTTTTCTGATGAACAGGGAACCCGAAATAGTAAAGAATTTCCTCTTGAAAACTCTTCGTCTTCAATCATGGGAGAAAAAGATAGACCGGTTCCAACTGGGAGAGGGTGTAATGCCAGCTAGTTTCAAAGTACTCCATGATCCGGTTAGAAATACCGAGACATTAATTGCAGATTTTGGTGAGAGTGCAATAGGAAGAGTGGCTCCTATTGATTCTGGATTTTGGTGGATTATATTACTTCGTGCATACACAAAGTCTACAGGGGACACCTCCTTGTCTGAGCTGCCTGAATGCCAGAAGGGTATGCGCTTGATACTCAGTTTATGCCTTTCAGAGGGGTTTGACACATTTCCAACTCTTCTTTGTGCCGATGGGTGCTCTATGATAGATCGTAGAATGGTGAGTTTCTTCTTTTTTAAGCTTGTTCTTACTGTTCTGAAATGATATACATACTCAGTATGTGTCCATATGTTTGATATACTGAAAATTTATGGAGGTTGTAAATTTCAGTTACTCTAATTCCCCTTCGGATAGGGTTGTCATATTTTCAAACTCATATTCTTTTATAGTCATTGTTCATAGACATGCTGCTTGTATATTGTGGAGTTCAAATAATATATGCTCTTTTGCCATGACATAATTGGATTCACCAACTTGAGATAGGCTGAATATTGTACTCTTATTTTACTAGAAAGATAGGACTCTCATAGCTGTAGTACATCTCTTCATGTAGCATGAAATGTTGAGATTAGGTGGAAATTTTTTCAAGTGGCATCTCTTTCTGTAGTTCCCTAAACATTTCTTGTATACATGTCTCTCTTTATCTCTCTTCTTTTTTCATATCAACCTTTACATTCAAATACATAATGTGCAAGTGTTTGCTGCAACTAAAAGAAACTTGCCCTTCTGTATCTTCTGTGCTTAAGTATGCACTTATATTCTGCAGTTTCACTGACTACTTTGTGGTAAACAAACATATCAGGGTGTGTATGGGTACCCAATAGAAATACAGGCACTATTCTTCATGGCTTTAAGGTGTGCACTTCTTTTACTCAAGCATGATGCTGAAGGGAAGGAGTTCGTAGAACGGATTGTGAAGAGACTGCATGCGTTGAGCTACCACATGCGAAATTATTTTTGGCTTGATTTAAAGCAACTTAATGACATTTACCGATATAAAACTGAAGAATATTCCCACACAGCAGTCAACAAGTTTAATGTCATGCCTGATTCTCTTCCAGAATGGGTTTTTGATTTCATGCCAGTTTCTGGTGGTTATTTCCTTGGAAATGTTGGTCCTTCAAACATGGATTTCCGTTGGTTTTGCTTAGGCAACTGTATTGCAATTTTATCAAGCTTAGCAACCCCCGAACAGGCAACCAAGATCATGGAACTTATTGAGTCACGCTGGCATGAATTGGTAGGAGAGATGCCCTTGAAGGTTTGTTATCCGGCTATAGAGGGTCATGAGTGGCGGATTGTAACAGGATGCGACCCAAAAAACACTAGATGGAGCTATCACAATGGGGGATCATGGCCAGGTACCTATCTAACTTGTTTTGTTCCATGGTTTTAACTGAATTTTGGAATATAATAGGGATGAACTGATTGATCTGCATAATTTGTTTGGGTTATTGAATCACTCTTAGTTCTTAACAAAACAAGCCCATGGACTTCAGAAACTGCCTAAAACTGGGTATTAAATTCTCTAGAAACATCATTGACAGAAAGATTTTGTCATGAATGTGTGCCGCTCAGCCCATGTATAGTATTTTATAATTGTGGTTTTCGTTGTATGGCCTATTATGATAAAAAGAAGTGTGTAGGTCCTTCTCATATTTGATTGTCTCTGGCTACAGTGCTTCTATGGCTCCTCACAGCAGCATGTATCAAGACGGGGAGACCTCAGCTTGCAAGGCGTGCCATTGAAGTTGCTGAACAACGCTTGTCCAAGGATGGGTGGCCTGAATATTATGATGGAAAACTTGGCCGATTCATTGGCAAGCAAGCTCGTAAATACCAAACATGGTCAATTGCTGGTTATTTGGTGGCAAAGATGATGCTTGAAGACCCATCCCATCTGGGAATGATTTCACTTGAGGAGGACAAGCAGCTGAAACCTGTCTTGAAAAGATCAGCTTCGTTTTGATTAATACATTTTACCTGACATTCAGAAGTTGTTTCTAGCTTATAACATGTTGTCATATATACCAGAATGTGGGGGAAATACAATTGAAGTCCCCAGGTCCAGCAAAAAAGAAGAAGAAAGAGGAGTAGAACTAACAAGGTTCTTGTAAGAATTAGTATAGAATGTGTAGTCAGATTTGGTTAGTCTGATTCTTTCTTTTTTACCTGGAATTGCTATTAGTTTCTGTTTACCCAAACTTGCTATCTTGTTTCTTGAACTCAGTTTAGCTGCATTTGCAACCTTATGAGTAGTTGTGACATGATTTTGCAACCACCTGTTGATACTCTTGTGTCGGTACCATCATATTCACAACATTCCTAGAGGCAATTCAGATTCAAATGGTAAGACTATGTTCCCAAAGAGTTTATTCAGTGGTGAAGAAAACTCTATTCAAGTGGTAGAATACTAGAATTATGTTCACAAAGAGCGTTAATTTAGTGGTGAAGAAGTAACAAATAATTTAATTTGATATTTAAAAAATTTGAAAGGTCAGATTATACCCTCATGGCCTCATCATATTAATGTAACCTTCAATATCCTTCAAAAAGTTTGCCATATTTTACAAAAATAAGATTTTATTTGGCAGATCTATTATATATTGAGACATTTAATTAGGGATAAATAATAGTAGTAATTTTAGAATTACAATTGCTAAATCACATAATAATATTGGTCCAAGAAGTATATACTACTTCACAAGGCATAATTAAAGAAAAATATAAATAAATATATCCACCCACAAGGTAGGTAGGAAGGTGCATAGTTAGTGGTGTCCCAGTCCAACTCCAAACAGGATTCCTAAATTACTAGTGCTATTTTTTTCATTTTGAAGTTCCAATATTTCAATCTTAGATTTCATCGTCGAATTTCGGGTAAATCCACAAATCGAGAAAAATCAGTATGAGGACGACACGGAGGCCGATCCAAGTCGTGTCGACATGGGTCCGCCGGCAACCGCCAAAGGTCAAGGCTTTTCTGGCCGTCATTACCGGTATGGCGGCGTTGGTGTTGCTACGCGCCATCGTCCACGATCACGATAATCTTTTCGTCGCCGCTGAAGCTGTTCATTCAATTGGAATCTCCGTTCTCATCTACAAGCTCATGAAAGAAAAAACTTGTGCCGGTAATTTATTTACCTCAATTTCTTCAAAAAAGCCTTCCTTTTATTGTTTATTGAACGGATGAATTAGAAAAGATTGCTTCTTTGACCTGAATTTCGGAAGATCTAAGTAGCAGATTGGTTTTGTTAGGTTTATTGATTGGTCATTTAGGGTAGAAACAATATGTTTTACGGAAAAAATATGCGAACTTCGTAGATTAGAGGTTTTTTGGTTCAGCTGCTGATGAATTCAAGGGTTTTGTTTGTTGGATTCGAAATTTGAAGTGAGGAAATAGTAGAAGGGTTATTACTAGATATTGTATTGTTATGGACTTCTAGAGCAGATTTTTTCACGTTTGATTGCATTGTTTTTTAAAATTACTTTTTTCTTAGGTTTTAAGAGTAGGATTGTGTTGAAAAGGGGTTGGGGAATCTTGTCTGCTGTAGTCATATGCTATGCCCTTTTTTGGTTAAGAGATACATTTTAAATTTTGTTGAGTGGTGTTGATTTTGTAGTATTTTTAATGTGACTAGTGAATTGTATGATCCACCAGTAAATTTTATCAACTTTGCCTTTCGGTGCCTTGTTCTTAAAGAGTGCAATCATTGTTGTAGGTTAAAATGAAGTAGCTGCAAAACTTGCTTTGGTTTTTTTTTCTTTTTCATTGGAAACATTAGTCAAAAGGAGTACACTCAGCTGTGTAAAGCAGTATGTCTTCTCGTAGTTAGCAGTTTTAGATCTGTGAGGTGACTGTAAAGAAGTGCTAGAGCACTTGCTTCAGATTTGGAGGTCTTGCTAGAGATGATGTCTCTTAACATAGTAAACATGAGTTACACTAGTATATGTGCAGTCTCTTAGTTTCTTTAAAAAAAATTGAACACATCCATTGGAAAGAAGTAAAATATGAGATGGTGGAAGTAAAAGCCAAAGTGGCGATAGCTTAACATTGAACATGTTGTTAATCGTTTATGGATCACTTTCCTTTTATTAAAGACCACTCAGTAGATGGGTTTAATCTTCTTTTTGGAACAAGAATGGATCCTACTATTTGAACAAGCACAGTTTTTTTTTGTTTGTTGATAAGGTTACTATTTTATGTATCACAAAAACCCATCACCAGAGATGATGAGGGGGATTTACATTTTGGGTTCAACTGACTTTACACTTGTCCTTTGAATTCTACTAAATCATCTATATCCCCCATTAGGTCTTGTCTACACCAAAAATAGAAGAAACTGAGGCACTTCATCTTGATTTTCTGCATGTGATTGCTTCTATCTTCAAGATTTCTTGAGTTCTTTTTTCCTTCCACACTGTCCACCATATGCATGCTGGGATGCATTGCCACCAATCTTCCTCTGCGTTTCATTTACCCCCACCCCCTTCCAACTGTTAAACATTTGAAAAGTAGTTTTGGTATTAGAGGGTTTTTGGATTGGCTTAAAAGTTGGTCAAATCTACTTGTAAGTCAGTTTTTGACTTCTGGAAGTGTTTGACAAATATAAAAAATAACTTAAAAATAAGTTAAGAAGTGTTTGGCAAGGTCAATAATGACTTAAAATAAGTCAAAAACCAAAAGTAGGTCTCCCCTTACTTTTTATTTCATTTATGTTTGTCTTTTTATTTTTGACTTAAAAGCTACTTTTTTTTAAGCCAATCCAAACGGGCTCTTAACCAGCTCACTCCAAGAATACCAAAGAACATTTAATACAGATTTACTGTTGTCTTGCTATGTAGGAATAGATGCTTATTGTTTTCTGCATCCTGTCAACATAACAGACATCTGAGAAAATCTGCAAACCTAAACCTCTGCTCTGTAAAGGTTCAGTTAAGCAGGCTTTTCTAATGACCAACCAAGTAAAGCTAGAAACTTTGTGTGGGATTTTGAACAAGCACAGTTATTAACAGCACAAAGATTTCTCATTAAGGAAAGTGACAATATTTTGAGTTGGAACAAAAAAAGGAGTAAAACAACCTTCTTGAGATTGAGTAAAGTAGTCAAACTTTCTTTCATGACTTCCCTGCTAGTTAAAGGTCTTCATTTGAAATTGACAAAAGATTTTTCCTTAAGCTCTTTAAAAGTCATCCAATTTGAGTTATAAGAGTATGGGTGGTTTCTTTTACATTTTCAGGAAGAAAGAAAGACTTTAATCTTCAATTGATTTGATCATTTTACCATTCCTTTAATAAAAACAATGCTAGTGAATACATCGGAAGCTAATTAACTGGTAGGCAGCGCTGCCGTCTGTTGTACCATTTTAGAGAGAATTTAAGTGAAGAAACTAAACCAAAAAATAAAAAGTGACAGATATCCCTTCAACATAGGTCATCGACAGGATCTCAGAGACCCACCAAGTTCGAAAGCCAGGATCTTTCAGAAAATGGTTTCCTATTCAAAGAGTGCGTAACTGAGTGGATAATCTCACACTAACCCGTCAAGTTATACATTTTTAAGGGATCCTATTAAATTTTGGTTTTGGGTTTTTTTTCTTCTCATCTATCCTCTTTCTTTCTTAGAAGGTACACATTTTTCATCCATTAGGGATCTATTTCTTGATTTCAATGTGGAAACTGAAACATTTATTAGGGACCTTGGTCTTTTATTTCTGTTTCAATCCTATGCCTCAGTTTGTTCTGATTGACTCTGATGTATATCATTGCAGGTCTTTCACTCAAATCCCAGGAGCTCACTGCTATGTTTTTGGCTGTTAGACTGTATTGCAGTTTTGTCATGGAATATGATATACACACCTTACTTGATTTAGCTACGTTAGCTACGACCTTGTGGGTTATTTATATGATCCGGTTTAATCTTAGATCAAGTTACATGGAGGACAAAGACAATTTTTTAATCTATTACGTGGTAAGTCACAAACAACTTATGTATACCTTTTTCTAGTTTTCTTCTTGAGTTGTACATAGTTGAGGCTAGTTTCTCATTTGGTATTTTCATCTCCAAGAAATATCTTGTTATGTTTATAGTGTGTATATGTATGTGTGCTCATGGATATTACATGTAAGTAATGAGGCTAATTTGAGTTATTTGGACTTCAGAAGTCATTTTATTGATATAAAGGTCTATTGATTGGTTTAAGCAATTCAAAAGTATAAGTGTATTATGCACAACTAACTGTATCATTCTCTGGTCTCGTCCCTTGCAATGCTATTTCCAAATATTGATTTGGTGTCTTCTGTTTCACTGTTTGACTTATTTGTTTTTTTCTGCATAAAATATGTTGCTAGTGGTTTTTGCACGACTTTTTCATAATTGTTAATTCTTTTGATTATATGAAAATGATATTAAGTTATCAGATGCGAGGTTATTTTGCTCTGAATAATTTTTTCCATATACAAATCTCTGCATTGTTTTATAATATGAACTGGTTGCCAGGAAACAGTAGGATAGTTATTGAAAGCTGTAGAATGCCAGAGTCTAAAAGGATTGCCGGCAATAGGCACTCTCTTTTATGCAGTACTAGATGTACTTGGCCAACTCTCAAGTATTGAAGAATAACATTTTCTGACGCATAAAAGGTTTACATATTAAGGGTTGTTTGACCTACTACGTAATTTATATCAGAAAATCGTGCAGGTATTAACTTTTGCATGTTTTCAGTTTTGTAACATTTGTTACTATTTCTACAACATACCTAGTATAGTTCCACACGTGGGGGCTGGAGAGGGTGAGGTGTATGTAGACCTTACCCCTACCTTCGTGGGGCAGAGAAGTTGTTTGTGATAGACCCTCAGCTCAAGAAAATCATTTTTGAGGACAATTTATAGAAATGCAAGAGTAAAACGCTACAATGAAAATATTGAAAAAGGAAAAATACTCACATGCCCTATGCCTCTCACCGGGACATTTTCGCTCCTCTTCTTCACATGCCCGAACCATCTTAACCTCTCTTCCCTCATTTTTGTCCACCATGGAGGCTACTCCCACCTTGACCCGTATGTTTTCGTTCCTAATCCCGTCTCTCATAGTATGTCCACACATCATCGAAGCATCCTCATCTTTGCTACCTTCATATTTTGAACGTGCGAGTTCTTGACTGGTCAACACTTCACCGTGTACACCATAGTCGGTTTAACAACCACTTTGAATTTATCTTTAAGTCTTGGTGGCACATTCTTATCGCATAGGACCTGCGAGCCT